ACTTTTATTAATTTACTTTGCAGCAAATGTCACAGGATATTGGGAGAGAGTTGTTGCGGAGAGAGTTTCCACTAAGGCCTAGATGGAATTCTACAGCTAGCATGAAGGAATGCAGAGTGGAGTATGTATTGATTGATGTAGCACAGGATGATTATTAGATAATGAATAATACATATAAATTTTTTGTTTGCAACAGTTCCATTGTGTACGGGATATCACACCCTGAGAATTTTGTTGAAAACTATAAGGATCTGTCTCTTTGGCATAGGGCCTATAAAGTGAGGCAGGCGATGAAAGTAAGTTTAAATGTCAGCATTTTCAGATATTGTTATAACGTACCCATACTAATCATTTACATTTCTTCCAGATAATATTCCCTGATCTGCAGTTTGAGGACTCCTCCTGGGCACCCCCTGCGGCTGGCGTATGACCTGGAGCTGGGCTGGAGGAAGCAGGGGCGGCCGTGCTACACCTTCAGGGAGACCCTCGCCCAGGACTACGACCGCCTGCCTGCTCCCCCAGAAGGGTGGGCCAACCTGCTGCTCGACAAGATCGCAACTAAGAACTTCCTCAAAGAATCAAGGGAGCTGGATGAGTCCTCGGAGGAGGAGGAGCAGGAGGTGCCACCACAGAGGCCAGCCCAAATCCATGGCTATCGACAGGTGTCTTCGCGTCTGTCTGTTTGTTTGTCTGTCTGTCTGTCTGTCTGTCTGTCTGTTCGCACGATAACTCGAGAACGGTTTGAGGTAGGTTGCTGAAATTTTTTTTGTAGCTTTGTATCCTAAAAAGGAAGAACTGTATTGATTTTGAGCCCTCTAGCTTAAAAATTGACCTGTCAAAAAAATCAAAAACGAAAACCCCAAAATATTATTTTTTATTTTTTTTTTACATCTTTCTTAGAGGTTTCTCGTCAAAGTAGAACCCTTTGGGCCAAAATTTTGTCCGTTTGGCTCTATCTCGAACCGTTTCGGCGCCAGAGGGCGTTTTCCATACGAAAATGACCCAAAACCATTTAATGTTATCTCTTACATCTTTGATGGTTCCCGGTGGGGTAACTAATCAAACTGAAACCCCGAGGAACAAAATTAGTGACTTTTGAAGCCGAAGGTCTATTTACGATCGTGCCTTTTGCCCAACTCAGGTGTCAGCGCCGCAGGCCTAGGTAGATGTATGCCAGGCGCGTCGCAGCGTAACAGTGTTTCGTGAGATATCGCGAGGCCTGTTACGCGAGACGTGGTCTGGCGTACATCTACCTAGTACTAAACAACCCTGAAATTCCCAGATCGCTCTCTCAATTCTTTCTCGAGTTATCGTGCGGACAGACAGACAGACAAACAAACAAACAGAATGATACTTTTCCGGTCAGTGGAGTAATGGGCTTCGCTAATCGCTCAGCCAATTACATTTTCAAGTTGCCTCGAGAAAAACAGTCCTTTCGACTTACCAGTGTGCCACAGACGTAAACAAATACGGTCTACGTGCTGTATTTTGGAACTGTTTCCGGTCATGATGAAAGAAGCAGGCCATATCTCGCGTAACAGGCTTTGTGATATCTTGCGAAGGACTGTTAAGCCTGGCGCGCATAACTAGGCCTGTGGCGCTGAAACCAAGGACGATTTAATAGGATATTCCACCGCAGGAAAACTGGAACCTAGAGAAGAAAAGGATGACTGCTCGATCCGTTTCAGTCTGCGAATTCATTGGCTGACTGACACACCGACGTCATCGTCGACAAATTAGTGGTCAGAAGGAAACACGGGGACCCTTGAGCCCAAAGGAGAGTGTGGTTCGACCCCTAATGTGTAGTTTGTTTTAGTAGTACTCCAGTTACAATTCTTTTTGACACGAAGCCTTTTATACGATTTAATTGACCATTTTGTCTTTTTCACGTTGTTTTCGCCAAGAAATGCCCCATAGCGCCGAAACGGTACAAGATAGAGCAAAACGAACGAAATTTTCGTTCGTAGGGTTCTACTTCCACGAGTTACCTTACAAGAGACCATAAAAAAAAAAAT